AGGTAAAGCAGCATGGCTAAGGCAGCCCCATCTTCAGTCCTGTGCCAGGAGGCAGCTGCAGCATCCTGCCCCACACAGCCTCTGGGGGTGCTCCTCAGCTCCCCGATTACAGGGGCTCTAAAGACAGATGTTAAATGTAGGGTTAAGCCCATGGGCAGCCCATCCCTTCAGCTTTTTGACACCTGCTCAAAACATTCCCTGCGTATGAAGGTGGTATTGGTGAATTCAGGCTAGGAGATATAGGGATGAAGGGTTCAATGTGCTTCACAATGAGTAGTGCATGTAGGGATTGATTTTCTAATGAAACCATTATAGTGAGACATGGTTATAATGAAACAAGGCAGGGAGGGAGCCAGGACTGGGTGCATATGCTGCACAGTGGGCACAGACATCATATCTGGGAGGGGAGCAGGCTCTGTGCAGCCTATGAGGAACACGTGCTGGCTCCCAAATACGGCTGCATGCTCACTGCCATCAATCTGGGTGAAGCTTGTGCAAATCAATACTCAGCCATTGCATACTACTGTCCATTATGCTTGTCAGTGTGGTGACCCGGCAAGAGAGGGAGCTGAGGACGTGCACAGTGCTGCACTGTGAGCAGATCTGGTGTGCATGTGTGCAAGATCAGCAATGCTGGTGAATCTCCGCACCTTGCTAATTACCAGTGATAGGCAATCAAGCCATACAGGACTGTGCTAAAAGCCTGATATTACTGGAATTCATATTCAAGAGGGAATCCTGCAGGAGGGGTGGGTCACTGAGGATGGGCTGCTCTGCATTTTGGGGAGGGATATTGCCAGCTGCCTGAAACAACTGGCTGAGCTGTCCCACCCCAATCCCATGGAGTATTGTGGCCTGTGCCCAGGGTCACACTGCACAGATAACAAGTGGGTTTTGTCACACACAGCAAGCTGCACATACATACATACAAACACATACATGTATACTGGTACATATGTACATATATATGCACGTAGAACTGCAGAAATTAACAAACCCTTCAACAAAGTGCCTATAACCACAAGACAATGCCTACCTACCACCTAAAACAAGCGTGACCTAGGACTCACCACCCCACGTACCTGCATGCCCAGTGCTGCTGAGCCGTCCCCAAGCCCCGCCATGCACAGAACCTTACCTCTGCTCAGGGCCACCCTGAGCACCGTGCAGAGCAGGGCCAGAACCGACGTGCAGCCCGTGGCCCTGTGCCCCATCCTGCTGTCACCACCACCCGAGCATCTCTCTGGAGCTGTCTGTCCAGGAGGGAAAAAATAAATACGGGGAGAAATAAATAAAAAGCAGGAGGGCTGCAGAATTAATAGTGGAATGAATAATTCATCGCTTGTTTGAATTAAGAGCAGCAAGCAACTTGATCTATTCCTCCCTTCCTTCACTCGGTTTTAATGATCTGGATCAAATGTACCAAGGATTTACACTATAGCAGATACCTTGTCAATACACTATATTTAGAAGAGATATTAATGCTTCAGATATGGTGTATAATGGCAGTAAGTCTGGGCTGACAATATGCCCTTAAGGGGCTATGAAAATAATTTAGTTCACCAGGCAAGACAGCAAACCAAAATGGGAATTTCAGGCTCACCACGGAAAAGTACCTCAGGAATTAACGTGATTTATACTGGAGCACAAGCCAACTGTTGATAAAAGCTGGAGACACCGGCAGCATCCCAGCGTTGGGCTTCTTGCTGCCTGCCCAGCAGCACAGTGCCTTCACAGCCCATGCTGCACACAGCCGCAGAGGCCTGGCAAAACAAAGCCAGGCGTGGGAGAAACGTCTGCTTGAAAAAGGCACCTTCCAGGCGGTGGGGAAAGAAGCAGCCAGCGTCTCCAAACCTCAACCACGGAGATGAGTTGCGTTTATTAATTAAGCAATGAGGATCGATGCCTGAGACATTTCCTGTGGATTAATGATGGGCTGGGAGGAGCCGTTGGCCCGAGGTGCTGCTAAGGACCATTAACGCCAACTGGCCATTAATTCCCAGGAAACGCTCCATGCCAAGGTCATTAAGTGCCTGTATTTACGTATGGGTAATAACAATAATGTTTGGCTGGGCTCTCTGCCCCTGCCCAGCCTCATTGGAGCCATGTGGAGCTGGTTGGCACCAGACGCACATCCCACTGATGGCACGTCCACCTCCTCGGAGCTCAATTAGCTGGTGCCAAATGAGCTGGGATAGAAAGGATTTGTCCCCACGCTGTATCAAGGTGTCATCAGGACCAAGACCCCAGCCAGGACAGTTCTCTTGTCTCAGAAAGCCCACAGGTCCACCAAGAGAGAGGCTCACGGCTTACCCAGCACAGTCACACCAGGCTCCCTCCACCGCCATCCTCAGCACTCTGACACCTACGTGACCGCTCATCTCCATCCCTCCAGCTGCGCTCCGTGTCAGCAGTACCCCCAGGAGACAGGGAGGAGACAGGGGCCAGGGCTGTGCAGCACACCAGCTGTGACCCCATCCTGGGGAAAGGCATCCATCAGCCTCGGGCACATTCACCCGCTCCTGACCTGGGGATGGCAATTCCCCGGCCAGGCCGAGCCCAGGCAACACCATCAGTCAGCAGAGCAGAGGGGATGGGGGGAGGATGAGAACAGCAGTAATGCTAATGAGAAGCTAGGCAGCCCTTCACAAATGGCTCTGGCTCAGGCCGGAGACATCATGGGGTGTTGTTTTCTGGTGGGTTTCTTTTTTTTTTTTGAGGCTGCTGAATCAGGGCTCCCCGAACTCCTTGGTGGGAAGATCTATAAATCATGAGTCAAAAAGGCATTTGATCCATTTAAGCAGAAAGGATGTGCTCAGGACTGCGAGTCGTCAAGAGGAGATCAAAGTTTTAAACACGGTCCCCCAGGAAGAAGTGGAATTATTTAGGCAGGGAATAATGAGATGAAATTAAGAAGGCATTTGGGCTGCCCACAAGGAAGAGAGGAAGCAAAGCTCCTCTCCCTGGCACAGCACTGCAGGGGGCTCATGGGGGACTCAGTGTCCCTGTGACCCTCGCTGGGGTGGCCAAAGCAGCCGAGCACCCCGCAGGACAGGCAGCAGCCTGCCTTCTCCTTGGGGTGGGCAAGGACCTTCCAGAGCCCTCCATCCCACTGCTGCCCAGCAGTGCCCTCTGCACTGGGCTGTCCCCATGAGCCAGGAAGAGGGACCCATGGCACATGACATCCAGCATGAAAAACGACAAAAGGACAGTGGGGAAGGGGGAGGGAAGAAAAAGAAGGGCAGAAAAGGCAGAACAAAGCACCGAGGGCTGTTTAAAGGCTCCTTTGAGTTCATCACGCCAAGGACACGGTCTCCCCTACAGAGAATTTCTCACAGCCCCCATCCCCTCCGGCACAGCAAATCGGGCTGTCGGCTGCATGTCGTCTCCTCCCGCTGCCCTGCAGGCTGCCTTTGCAGGATTGCAACCCGCAGCACTCACAGCTTGCTCTGTCTCTCACCACCCTCCCTTTTAGCCACGAACAAAGACAGGAGGCTTCGCAGCAGAATGGCCAGACCAGCTGGGTAAGGTTTAACCATCGTGGCCCATATGTGCTGAAATACCCAGACATATTGGGGTTGAGCTTAAAGGAACAGTCCCAGCTTTTGCTTGAAAACGCACTGCTTTTCCAAAGCAAGCGTGAAGTTTTACCTCAGGCCTTTGCTAAAAGGCTTTGTGGGTTTTTAGCAGCATCTCCAAAAGGCAGGATGCTTAAAGCAAGAGGTATATAAATATGGCTTTCAGAGCATATAACATCAGAGGAAAATATTTCCTGCATTCCCAGCCAGGAACAAAATAGTGAGAGCAACCAGAGATGGCAGCTCTGTATTTTATTAGCCCCACGCTGCATAGAAGCACCCTCCACTACAGTGTGGGTTATGGTGGCTAAAACACAGTTTGAAGAGGCACTAAGAATTTGCCTTGGACCCTAATGTGGGCAACATCACTGCATCCACCTGCAGTAAAAGCCAGAACTCTAGGCTATGAGAACAGCCCTCGATCTAAAGAAGTTAGCTTAAAAGCTGCATCCACACTGGACTGAGTCCAGGCACTTGGTAACTGGAGACAAACCTCATGTCAGCAAGGGGAACCCATGCCGTTTAAGACTATGTCATGCACTGTAAACATGCACCTTTGTGCAATTGCAAAGAACTTCTTGTGGTTTAGTGGCAACCGTGGCAGACTGTGTCTGCAGGGCCCAGGCTGCTCAGAGCTCTGACCCTGAACCACGTGAGAGGGCAGGCACATCCCGAGCTTAGATCCAGCTCTGTTACAGACCCCACTCTCACAGGAAAAGACAAGAGTTCTCCCACACACAAGTGGTACAGTTAAGTATATTTACTCACCAAACACACACATTGTTATGAGCCAAGAAAAGGTGTCAAAGCCTCCCTGCAGCAGTGAAGGAGTCAAAAACATGGTCAAGATGATCAGCCCATCCTTCACATGATCTCACCACCAGTGTCACTCCTGGAGCAAAGGCAAAGCTAAAACAGCAGAAACAATGCAATCAGTTGCTGTCTGCAGGACCTCAGGTACCCACACAGCTTCCCAGTGTGAAGCAGCGCCATCCTTTTGAGCAGCTCTCGAGGTACGTGCCCCCTTGTGCAAGGAGTATTATTTCAAACAGGTAAAAAATAGGCAGGAGTGATGATGCATCATCTGCCACAGCCATGGAAACCCTGTGAAATCCCAGCACGGGATTTGAACAAGGAATGAATGGCAAAACAGAAAGGTGTGCCAAAAGGGTATATGTCCAGGTGCACCTAGTAAACACTGAGGTCTAAGAGGTAAAAGAGTGGAGAGAAGATAACTCAGATCAAAGGCAGAAGCACTGTGCACTAGAAGGAAGGGGTTGGAGTGCTCTGCTGTGCCCTGTAGAGCAGTATCCCAGCAAAGCCCAGTGGAGCTTTCACTCCTCACATGTTGTTCTTACGCGCCCAGGGGTGCTCAGGACACTTTCACTCTGTGAATATCCTATGACAAAAAAGAAACAGCTGTTTATTTGACAGTAACTTCAATTTAATGAATCAGGACTCTTACACAACACTTAGGGGACATGGAAAGCAGACAACCATCTTTCCCGATAGACAGCAGCTACACTGATGCTTCCCCACAGACTTTTAGGACATTCTCCTCCTCCCTCCAGACAGCATTGCAAGGGTTAAGGCTCAGCACAGGCAATGCAAATCCTCCTTGAGCACCACGCACAATTCCACCCTCACATATAGGAGGTCTCTTTTTTTTTTTTTTGTACACAGCTGGAAAGGCTCTTTCCACAGAGCAGCATCTTTATCCCCATATTAATGTATTAGAGGGCAACTGAGGCACAGGGAGGCTGAAGAGACCTGCCTGGCATCACCCAGCAAGATAACGACACTGAAATGAACCCCACAGACACCAGAGCGTCACGCAGCGCTCTGCTGCTCCTGTGGCCTCACTATCTTCTCCCAAGAAAGAAATCTCTCCAGGGTACAACCAATGGGGCACAATATCACTGCATACCAACAGACTTCAAAGCAAGACATTGGTCTTCATATTACAGCAGACGTGTACACTTGGATGCTTCTTAATATCCTTAAGAGGTGTCTCTCAAAATTGCATGTAAAGGCTCCCACTAAAAAGACTATGCAGTTCCTTCAGGTATGGTGATTGTAGCAGCCACTCTGGAAGATCACCTGATCTTTAAAACTCTCAAGATTGAGAACCCTACCAGCAAAATATATTTAACCCAAAGGCCTATGAAACTATAGGCATAGGGATCTGAGTCTTTTGAGATGACTGATTTCGAGCAATGTCTTTGAACAAGATACCCTAGTCTTGGCCTGATGCTCCTTGGTTCAGGAATGCTTTGCTAAAAGGCAAAACAGGAATCTTCTTCAACTCCCGCAGCTTTCAGATATCTGTTCATGTCTTCAGTGAATGCAGAAGATCCACAGATTAATACAAATGGCTTTCTTCGGCAGGAATTTATTATTGTCTTTATCAAGTCCTCATTTAGACGACCAGTGTATGTGTTTTCCTGATAGCTCCAAGGAAGATTTTCCAGTGAAGTTTCCTGAAAAGGCAAAAAAGGACAGTAAAAAGGACAATAAGTTGCTTACAGCTGTATCTCCCTCTTCCCCTCAGAGTACTACACGGGGTGTCTTTTACCCTTGAGACTCCAACCTGGATAGCAGTGATCTATCCCAAGACCTGTGGTCCTCTTGCAAAGGCCAGATAAAATACCTCCCTATCACCGGATCTGGCCACTGAGCCAAACAAAACTGAGTCTAACTACTGCCAAGTAGCACTGCAGGACCTACTCCTTTGGGAGCCACTACCCACCATGCCTTCTCAATTCCCAAGTCTTCAGTCCCAATTCTATTCCTCCCCACTGCCTCTTCCACTCCCCCAAGCCTCCTTCAGTTCCATCTCCCTTGCCAAAGCAACTGAAGAAAACCCTGCTCCAGACACAGCTCTGATCCCATGAGTAATGTTAGATCCCATGACATTAGATCTAACAGGACCCCCTACTGCTATTAATTAGAAGCACAAGGTGTTTAGATCTGATGGTGACAGGGGACAGACACATAGAATCCTAAAAGGGAAGATGCACCACTCAGCACTGGAGTACAACAAGCCTGCTAAAAGAGGAGAGATGTGTACGTAGGGCAGGCTGCGTTGACAGGGGTCAGAGAGGGTCAGATGGGTTTCTTACTGCCCTTCACTGGGTTGAATTTCAAGAGCTTCTCAGGCTGTTGAGAAAGCACTGTCCTGAGAAGAGCATCTAAGCTATGTCACCAGATCACACACCTACAGAGCAGTTGAGGGGATGCCCAAGCACAAGCACTTTTCCCTCCATATCCAACTTGCCAAGACCATATGTGGAACATAATGTATGAGGCAGAACCACCAGGAGATACAAAAAATGATTCATCTGAGAAGCTAAAAATGCAATGGGATTCATTCCCTCAGCATAAATAATTCTTTCTGTATCTTCCCTGCAATGAATCCTCATTGCTGAGGGAACTAATTTTCATCTACCAGATCTGTGCAGAACACAGGCAACTTTGGGACCAAATGAGAACGAAAAAGACCGCTGAAAACAAGACCACTGAGAGGTATGCCCTCATCCCATGAATTTGGCACAGAAAATCATTTTACAGAGGGGGCCACAACTTTAGAAAGTTTAAAAATGGGTCAACTAGGGGAAAAAAAACTGCTGGGAAGTTGGTGCTAATGTACTAGAATAAGGGAGGTGTAGCCATGAGCAACAAATGGAAGATAAGGACAGACTAAGGCACTGGTATTAGGAAAGGAGAAATAGTTTATCTGCTGTGAGGCTCCAAGAGTAAAGCTTTCTTGGCATAAATGTTCTGGTGCAGCAACAGCTGTCTGAAATGAAGGGGGAAATGATCAACAGTGAATATGAATCAGTGGGTCCTTCCTGACAGGAGAACTGCCAGCAGGGTTGAAGAGGGACAAGAAGAGAGGGTTGTTTCCCTAAAACTCTTCAGGCTGTTGGCAGCACAAGAAACCATTTAATAGATCTAAGAACAGCAGCAACAGGATCAACAATAGCTTTAATAGCTGGGAAAGAACTAGCACCAGACTGACAGAAAAGGTTCATCCAGCACAACAGAACAGTCACATAAGTGTACTTCACATTCCTTTATTTACCTGGCTTAGGACGTAAAATATTCTGATGTTCCAGTATCGGGCCAGATCCTGGAGAAGAGGTTTCAAATAAATTTTTTCAAAGGTACAAAAGCAGCCAACAAGAGTTACAAAGGTTTCATCCTCTTCATTATCCGTTATGGACTGGAGAATGGGAAGCATTGGGGCAAGACCAGTGCCAGAAGCCAGCATGAGGAGTTCTCCATGCTAACAAAGGAACAGAGAATTCTGAATTAACCATCACGACTGGAAACAAAGGTGCTCATTGCCAGTTCCTCCTTGCTGCCACGCTGCTAGAAGGTCCCTAAAGAGGGGAAAACATCAGGACATGAACTGCTACACACAAGTCTTCAAATGTGTTTTTCTATAAACCCCATCAAGGACTACAAACAGCATTTTCAAGACTTACATATCAAATTTAAAACTGGATTATATCCCAATAGAAACATTTATCCTAACTTTAGTTTCAGTTCAGTTGTACACTTTGCTGACCCATTGTTCATTGTTTTCCTGCTGGAAAAGATAGCTGTTTATTTTGGATGCTGCAAAATACAGTCCTGAAAGTGCACTGGAGGGAATTGTTTCTTCTTCACCTTGATCCACACATCACCCTCGTGCATTACCTCACTTCTATCAGAGACCCACCAGTGCAGCACCCAGTGCTTCCCACCTGCAGCATGGAGATGTCCACTCATTTACCTGCACCAAAGGAGGCCCACAATGGGGACAATTCTTCTATAGCAAGAAGTTCTAAAGATTGCTCAGGTACTCTGTAAACCACATGCATGAGGATCACCCACACAGTCCCTGAATGAGTCACTTCTAGGCAGAGCTGCAATGTTTTGTCCCAGATGACCTGGAAGCTTTTAAGATCAGAAGTGAACAGTATCCTCACACAGCAGGGAGGATATTCCAGGAAGCACAACACCACTGCTCTGCAGGGAGCTTGGCCAGTGGGATTTTACAGCCCTGCTTTTGTTGGATATTTAAAATGAATTAAAAAAAAAAAAGAAGGAAGACTTTGGGATCTTAATGACCTATGTTTCAATTCTGCTTCTCGTTTGGAAGGTCAGAATTAAGTAACGAAATTAGCGTGTGTGAGAAGCCTTCCCCTGAAACTGGATCTGCCTTTCTTTGCAGAGAGCTTGGTATCAGTAGATGGGAATCAACATTTGCAGAGTGTCTGGGTGATGTGACACCTCACTGGAGCTGCTGTAGTTCAGGGAACACCCAGGAGGGGAAAAGATCAACGCCTCTTTTTCACTTGTGCTCAGACACAAAATAGCAGCATTGCTCAAGCAAGGCAAAAAAACAATCCACACTCACTGCTGGGGCAGAATAAACTTCCTTTGTTAAACACATGCAAGTGATGAACAGAGAGCCTTGCTAATTTTCTAGTCTCCCACCCACCTCCTTCTCCTCTTCCCTCTTACATATGCTGCAGTTCAATAAGGTGTACTTTCCCCAATTGACTGCTAATGCTGCAGCACTGCACAATACCCAGGAAGTCCCTAAAATAATCATGAAAACAGTAATCAAATTGATATCTTCCCTTTGGATTATTAAACAAAGCTAGCTGCCACGAGCTGAAACATCCTACGTCTCTTAGGAAACTAACCTTATTAGGTCGATATGGGAACCCTCCAAATGGCCCACGCCAAAAGGCAGTGTCTCCTTCTTTCCAAGTCCTTATGTATTGTGACATTAGCCCAGCTTCATAGCACTAATAAAAAACATTGCACAAAAGAAAGGAATAATTATACTCTGTTGGAAACTTTCCCAGCTTAAAGTCAATTATAAAGTTATCTGCATTTAAACAAGAAGGGGGCAAAAAAAAAAAAAATATTTCATGCATTTAAAAAGAAAGAAAGATCATTCTATTTGAAAAATAATTCAAAGTTATACCCAAAACAAAGACATTTAAATTAAATCATATTGGAGTCATTCCAGCTCGACTATAATGTAAACACAACCCACTCCTATGCAGTCTGAATTCCCAAAACTGGAAAAAGCTTATCAAAGTTCCTGCTTACAAAGCACGTGGAGAAGAGCACCTTGAATGCAAAGCACAGCCCGAGCCTTCAAGCATTCTCCAAAGCTCAGGGTGTGGGATCTGTAAAAGCCCTCTGGGCACTGATAGTTACATAAACACCGCGCAGCTCTTCCTTTGTTTCAGTCTCTCCGATGCTGTGTTGATACAATTAGTGACCAAACGAGAGGCTTCTCATTTATAAAACTGTTTCCAGAACAGATCATCTGGATGCCTTTGTGTTTTCAAAAAAAATATGTTAATTCGGGCTTCACAGAAGGAAAATATTAGTCAAAAAAATGCTTTACTTTCCACTAGGCACAAAAAACCCCCATCATTTTGGCTTTTCCTCGTAGGAACGCTAGCCTCACTGGTGACTGGTAAGAAAGGGTGAGTGCTTGTTCAAAAAGAGAATCATAGAATGGTTTGGGTTGGAGGGGACCTTAAAGCCTACCCAGTCCCAACCCCTGCTGCAGGCTGCTTGGCACCCACCAGATCAGGCTGCCCAGAGTCCCACCCATGTCAGCCTTAAAGGTCCCATCCAAGCAGCCTTATTGCTGCACGTAATGTGCCACAGGCATATACATGTCCTACTTGTATGATGGCTTGATGTTGACAAGAATACATGCAAAAGAACTGTCAATATCTATGAGACCTGCTCAGAGAACAGCTGGCCCATCCTGCAGAAGCAGATAAGCCTAACTGCTATGGCAGACAACTGGTCTTGCACAGAGGCGATGCCACTGATAAGCTTGAGGAAAAGCAACACAGCCAGAGGTCAAAAGATGGAATGCAGTACAAGCCTTCAAAGCCTTCAGCCCACATAACTGAGAGAAGGGTATCTGGGGGTATTTTCTGCACTGGACAAAAATCCAGCTCCACATCCCAGTGCCTGGACCAGCCACCAAGCAGCACTGCAGGCAAACAGAACGGATGAACTGTGCACCGAGAAGCTAAGGACAGGAGTGAGCAAGTGTGTGTCTGTGCTTGCAAGCTTGTTAGCTAACAAAGAGCACAGATACTCCTCCCTTGTAACAAGCTCACTTAAATAAGATATCCTGGCTATTAAGATCTATTAGCACCGGTTGTTGCATTGAAGGCAAACATCACATGCACACATCCAGATTCCGCCCTGCTGTCAGAAACATTTCATGCTCAGAAGGCTCTGGGCAGGTACTGAATCTCATGCAAAGAGCGTCGCATCAAAGGACCAGTATTTGATCCCTACCTTCTTTACCTGCACATGGAAATCTGAGACAAGAGGAGAAAAGTCAACCCCTCTTTATGACCCACTCCCAGTGGACCATGGTAATGGTAACTAAAGCAATCCTTGCTCCAAAATTATTTCTGAAAATCAGAGTAAGAAGTGATTGAGTGGGCTTAAAATGAATTTTTCTAAATAGAAAGAAAAAATAATTATCTCCTGGGGGGAAACCTCTACACCCAGTTTTACATGGAGAGAAACCCTAACATTATAAAATCACTCAAAAAGAGGGTTATGCTCTGTAAATGGCAACTGCTTCACTCTTAACTGTAGTATCACAAATGCAATGCTGTAATAACAGGAGACAGAAGGGTTTGAACAGTGCTGGGATTGCATAGTAATAATAATAATATAGTACTTTCCAAAATTGCTTGAATAGTGTGAAATATACCACAACCTACAGAGTGAGTTATAAAAATGGCTGCTTTGCACTGGGTGTTACCAATCTCTTTTGTCACTGCCAGAGAATAACTATAGCTCCCTTTGGGATGAAAGGTTCTACATAAAGGAAAGGTGTCATTACAATCATTACTATTATTACTGAAATGCAAAACCTGTGAGTAGTAAGCAAGTATACATGAAATTTCACAGTCATCCTGTGAATGTATCCTATTAATACAACTCAAATGCAACATTTCTCTCCCCTACCACACGCTAATTGCCACAAGAATGGTGAAACGACCCTCCCACAGGTATCTTATACAAGCTATACACATTTCTAAAGAACAGGGCAGACATTCAAACATACAATACATAATAGACCTCCAGAACATGAAAACCTGGAAGACTGGCAGGGAACAAACGGTCATTTCCTGGCAGTCACCTGGGACACCCAGCATTCTGTGTCTTACAGCTACACTGAAGGCTGCATCTGTCCTGAGGAACCACTACTGACACACAAACACACGTCAGAAAAAGATTTTCACTTTGGTATTTTCCACACAAACTAATTACACATTTGTAGGAGCCCTGAAGACTACATTCGGAAATATTTCCAGCCCAGTTCTTATGTAACATCCTTTTGAATCCCACCAGCTCACCCAAACTGGGGCTGTCACCAAACACACTGATTTATTATTATTATTTTTATCAAAAATAAAAGCTCTTAATGAGGAGCATCCTTAACACAAAAATAAGGAGTGGGGGAAAGCAACAGCTGGGCAAAGGCTTCCCAAAATCCAATGGTTCCACTGGACTGGCTACTGGGTGTGACTTCAAGATCAGACTGAAAAGGCAAAACAAAATCAGGGACACGGAATGGGCATCTCCTCACACAGTGGCAACTGCAAGGCTCCTGAGAGGAGCTACTGCTTCATAGAGATTGTGCTGTGAAGCACTTGTTTGTGTGTCACCTTCCTCTACTTCCAGCTTCGTGGAGGAAAAAAAAAGCAGCAGTTTTTATCAGCAAAGCACAACTGCTTCAAAACAACAGAGAAACCGTCCACGAGGGATTTGACAGTGCCTCCCTTGAAGTGCTGACAGTGTGCTTGGTTCCTAAAAGAAAACACAGTTCCCAGCACCTCAGACTCTAATCTATATTGTATAGACTGACTTACTTTTATTAGAACTTCAAAGTAACCTTCTGCATTCCCTGGGCTAATGGGAGTGTAGGCTCGCTGGACCTCCAAACCATTCACCACTCCTCTGAGAAAAGAAATACAGGAAACCACTGTAACTTGTGTCATTGACAGATATTACCAACACCTCTGCTTTTCTCTGGGGAGATCAGGCAACGCCAAGGGAGGCAGCAGAACCCCTCCTCAGTGGCTCAGCCTGTGCACAAATGCAAAATGCTCCCCTGGGAGAGGTAAAAATCCACGGGGGACATAACTGACGATGCATCTACTGTTTTCCTGCTGGTGGCCCCAGCTGTATCCCACATTCAGCTCTTTCATGCATTCCTGGAAGGAGGCTTGGGAAAGAGTGGCAGAGGGGACAGAAAATGCTCTCTGGTGTGCTACACCTTTCTTTTTGTGTTTGGACAGCATCTGACAATCAAATAATGAAGTCGGGGCACAGCCTTAAGTCAAACTCTTGTCTATATTCGCTGTATTTTCCTGCAAGCCTTCTCTTTCCATTGAATATACCCACAGTGCTCTTCACTGCTGACTACAGTAACTGACTCAAATGGCCAAACCTTTTCCTCTGCTGCACTGCATGAGAGGGCTGAAGGGAAGGCAGCCAGCCAGCTGTGTACATCAGCTGTTAACGCACGAGTAACATCAGCAGATACAGATCAATGGCATCATAACGTGACTTCTGCTTTCTGGCAATGATCACCACAGATGGCAGGGAGAGAAACTTCTCCCAGGTGGCCACTTTCTGGTGAGCCATTAACTGCACAGGAGGGTTGTTTTCCTAGAAATCAGTTAGAAAATGCCCAGACAACAGAAGAAGCACCATGGGTGCTGAGTTACTTCAACAGACAGAGCCTAAAATACCCAACTAGGAGTTGAGCACAGCTCATTGTCCTCCCTGCAACACACAGCAATAAGCCATCTATTGTAACACCTATTCTTTTACTCTTTCTTTCTGCAATTTTTTTTTTTTTTTTTTAAATCACACCCAGTTCTTTCTGACCCACCGACATGAGGATAATGCTGAAGGAAAAAAAAACAACAGAGCTTTGCAATGACTTTTGCCATAAAATTAGCAGAGCTCACAAGCTCACGGGGCCTTTCATCTGTATTACTGCACAGCTACGGAATTATGATTTGCCTGGTGTGAAGGCTTTGTCTATGGACAAAAAGCTATAGATGGGGTTACATAATGCGGGCTGTTTAAGCAGCACAGAGAACAATACCTTAACACGATGTGTTGTCCCAAACCCAATCGCAGGCTGCCATTTCCTGGTAATTCAAACCTGTACTGGTAGGTGTCCTCTGTTAGCTGCTGCACCGAGCTTATGGTGAATGCAGTAAATGCATCCGGACTGAGCTCTGAATTACTACTCTGCAAGAACAACAATAAATAATTACTCGGTTAGATGACCGCCTTTTGTTATTTCACGTCTCTCCGGAAGCCAATTTAGCGCTAGGGACGCGCCATCAGCGCAGGCACGGAACGCGAGGCCGGCGCGGACGCCAGCTCTCGGTCACACGGCACAGCTCTGAGCGCAGCGCACCTCCGTTACACGGCACAGCTCGCAGCCCTGCCTGCGGGTGCCACGAAGCCGCGCTGACCTCCCCCTGTTTCTCCACGAGGAGGTTTTTGTCTCGCGCTGCTCTGGCCCGCTCCCATCGCTCCAGTTCCTTCTCGTACACGTCGTAGACGCACGGCTCGCAGCCGCCGCCGCAGCACTGCGATGGAGAAGGCTCCCGGGGCTTGAGAGCCTGCCACTCCTCCTCCTCCTCGCGCCCGCTCATCGCCTGCAGAACGGCAGCCCCGCATCGACAGCGCGGAGCCGCTCGCACCACAAGCCGCCCCCCAGGGCCCTCGCCCCCCCTCCCCCCGTCCCGGCACGGTGCTGCGCGCACCGCCGCCGCGTTTATCGCCCGTCCCTCCCTGCGGAGCTCTCCCATTGGCCACCTTAGCCGTCACTCACGCCGCGCCCCCGCCCCTACCGCCGTCCCGCCGGCCCGCGGCAAGATGGCGGCGGTGGGAGCGGTGGCAGGGAGGCCTGCGGTGCTGAGGCTGGCGGCGGCCCACAGCCGCGGCATCCTCACCCGCCCTGGGCCGCCCCGTCCTCGCGGCCCGCTGCCCCGCACGCCCTGGACCACCCGCGGGCCGCCGCCGGACCAGCTGGCCCAGGTGGTGGAGCGGCGGCCGGTGCGCGAGCAGGTGGAGCTGGACAGCATCACGTACGCGGGCCGGCAGTACTTCGTGCCCGGCCTGGCCCGGCCGCGCTTCCCGCCCTGGGACCGGGGCTGGAGGGACCCGTGGCACAGCCCAGGGCCGCGCTACGAGGACATGCCGCTGCGCAAGGAGCGCGGCTGCTTCATCTGCCACCAGCGAGTCCGCATGCTGGAAGGTACCGCGCTATGCGGAGCCCGGGGCGGCCTCGATGCGGGGACGGCGCGTCTGGAGCGCTGCGTCCGGGGTGCGGCCCTTAGGGCAGGAGGGACACAGATAAGGGACGCGGATCTGTTGGAGTGCGGCCACCAAAATGGCCCCCGGAACAACACCACTGTGATGGGCCGAGAGCTGTGGGTGTGCTGCCTGGAGATGAGAGAGCTCCGGGGAGACCCGAGGGCAGCCTGTCAGTGCTTCAAGGGGGGCTGTGAGAAGGAAGGGGACAGACTCTTGAGTGGGTTCCGCTGTGATGGGATGAGGGGAAATGGTTTCAAACTAAAATGAGAGATGCGCCATCCCTGGTGACACCCAAGGTCAGGCTGGATGGGGCTGTCAGCATCTGATGGAGTTGTGGGTGTCCCTGTTCAGTGCAGGGAGTGGGACCAGATGGCCTTTAAGGGTCCTTTCCAACTCAAGCAATTTTATGATTCCATGAATGATTCCATTCGTCAGCCTGCTGCACTGCACGCACCCATTGCCAACCTGCCTGGTGGCTTAATTCATAGAATCATTAAGATCACCAAGATCACCAAGTTCACCGCACCATTCCCACTGACCACGTCCCTAAGTGCAACAGCTGCCCTTAAACACCTCTGGGATGGTGACTCCATAGCTTTCCCAGCCTGTACCAGTACCTCTCCACTCTTTCTGATAAGATTTTTTTCCTAATATCCAGCCTGAAGAAAATTCACACCTGTGTGTGTTTTTACTTTTGTTTCGAGGGGTTCGGCAGGCGCAGTGGCTCACCAAGACAAAGCTGGTGCAAGGCTTGCCTGCAGCGGTGCTCAGCATCGCCGAGAACCCAGCATACCAGCTCCAGGAGCAGGAAGAGGCCGTGCACCGTGCAATTGCACATGCACGGCTCTGGGAGACCACAGAAGTTGCTCCCAGAAGGGAAAAATATTGGTAAGTGTTCACTCAGGTTTCGATGTAAAGCTGTTCATCAATGGGAACCAGAGAGTGTAACACTACAAGGAAAACTCACACATAGAGCTGCCTTAGAGAGAGCCGTGGTGCAAAACTGTCAGAGCCTTTGTCACCTTGTAAACAGAGCAAAACAGTGCAGTTCTGGAGGTTGGCAGTAGTTACACAATGTTACATATACTCCATATTGAAGCTTCTTTTAGGCCAAGGACTGCGTTCTGCTTAAGATCAAGTTTTAGCTGATGCACAGCGTCAATTTTTAAAATAAGTAATGCTAAGCATTACCTCTGCCAGCTTGGAACAGGGCTGGTTTGCTGGGTATTAATTTGAGATCTGTGTTAGCAATAATATTTTATAGCTTTCATATCCCAGAAGCATCCGCCTGCCATTAGCACAGCATATTTACTTCATGTGGCCATTTTTTTTCCCCCTAACTCTAAAGCCCTGTATTGTTTGAAGACTTGATACACTTATGCCGGTCAATGTCAATGAAGTATCCTTCCCTGGCTAGAAGAATGCTGGCTCGAAACTACCGGATTGCAGCTACGTGGGAAAGAGGTTGGTTGTGGGAAAGAGGTTGGTTGCTGCTGTGCTTGAAAGCAGTTGGCTCTTTTCCTTATCGTGAGAGGGCTAAGAAGGGCATTCAAAAGCTTAAGACTTAGAAAGACCAGAACAATTTCTAGAACCAGTTCTTGATTCAGTAGCACTGCATGGATAGGCAGCCTTGATTGTTGGCAGGGTCCTTGCCCTGAGGAGATTATTGAGGTGTTAGGCAATACCAACAAGGTGTTGGGAGAAGAGAACCAAGTGTCTTAACTGGTTGCTTATTTTTGGCATCCAAATCTGCATAGTGATCTTTCTAAATGTGCTTAGTTAACAAGCAAACACCAGAAATCAACATTGCTGCTTTAGAAAAAGAACCTACGGCTGTGCTATTATTTAACGTCAGTTTGGAGGTGAGGGGCAGAAGGAGCCTTATAGAACAAAGGGCTGCATGAGTGCTGTTGCCCAGAAGCAAACGTAAGCCTTTGCCTGATGTTATTTTAGTGATGTTTGAATACAGTCTGATTTCCCTTCCCAGAATCCACTCTCCTTCAGATCCGTGGCCTGAATGGAATACTTATGAACTCTATGACCCCAATACCGCCGATAGCCTCCAAGGAAGAGATACTGGCCACAAAAGACCATGTTCTGGAGACCTTCTATCCCATCTCTCCTACAATTGACCTTCAGGAGGTGAATGTATACCAAGAGCTCAATGACACAGGCAAGTGTTGGAGGTGGCAATTTGCTAGCAGTCCTTGCCTTTCTGCCTCACGGCTCTGGGGAGGATGGGAGTGGGGCAGTGGGTGTGCAGTGCAGGCACTCCAGTGGTAGGACTGTGGAGAAAAAAAAACAGGCAAATTGCTTTAACAGATCCTGAAGATAAGGGAGAAAACATTGGCTCTGTAGTCTCTTAGTGAGCGATTTCTGATGTGGTTATCTGCCGTTCAGGTTTCAAAGATGGTTATCCGTACTCTCATCCTCACACTCTGTATTTCCTGGAATCGGCCAACAATCGTCCTAACAGGTTCAGACCAGAACAGCTCCGTGCTAAAATGCTGATGTTTGCTTTTGGCAACGCACTGGCGAAGGCGAAGGTGCTGTATGGGGTACGTATTGGAGACTGCTGCTGTCTTGCTGGGCCTTTGTTCTTTCCCTAGCACCACAGCCAGCAGGAAGGGTTGTGGAATTCCCTTGCTGTAGCGTGTTAGAATAGTTTTCAAAGCTGCACTGAGGATACTGTATCACAGCTTCCCACTCCAGAGGTCTTAGTCTAACCTTCAGGTATGGCTGCTGCTATCTGCTGATCCAGTGCACCATCTCAGCAGTGAGCACGTTCATGATGTGACATGCACTGAGGTGGTAATAGGTAGGAGCCAGGGAGAAGGTTTAACTGTAAAACTCTAACCCTTCCCACATCTCAGTATGCAAATTGATACCTCACTGCTGGCTGAGGGAGGAATTTTAATTAAAATACCAAATCTACATTCAAAACTTGTTTGACTAGAGCAATTTTCTGGGCAAGGTAACAATACATTTATTAAAGTCTTGGCTTTAAACCAAGTAGAATATGCGGAATCAGCAACTACTCGTACAACTTCTGTGGTAGCTGGTTTGTTAAACGTTCTCCTTCCCTTCTTTCCTAGAATGATCCCCAGGTTTTGGAGCAGCCAATAGTGGTGCAGAGCGTTGGCACAGATGGCCAGCTCTTCCAGTTCTTGGTGTTCCAATTAAATACAACAGACCTCGTGTCTAACGATGGCATAAAGAATCTAGTCTGGATTGACTCCGATCAGAATCTGTATGAAAGTGCCCAGTGTGTTCCAGAAGTCAAGAAGAGAGTCGTTACAGTAAGTGAGCGGGGGCAAAGCACTCCTGGGCTGGGAGCAGTCCTTGCTGTGCAACACTTTCACCTGTGCCAGAGGTCTGGGAGCTGGCACGGAGCTGTGCTGTGGGTTTTAAAGCAGCTGAGGGGACTGAGGCTGGCACTGGCGCCGTTCTTACAGGAGAGCCTGAAGCAGGTGTTACTGCCAGGGAGTATTTGTACTGCTGAGGTACTGCATAGCATACAAGCCGCACGCCAAGCTTCATATGAACTCCTACATAAAGATATCCCCATCTGTAATATACCATCTCATAGTACACTTGCTTGAAATCAACTCGTGCTCTGACGAAGGAAGAGCTTCCATGCAACTGTCAGCTTCACTGCAGAGTAAACAGAGCACCGTGCTGTCAGCCCCAGTTACACGGGGAGGGCGTCTCAGGTGGATGGACAAAGCATTCCCGCCGCCTGAGATTGATGGCAGTGGGAGTACCTCCACACAGAGCCACCTGGGGAGGGCAGGGGGAGCACAGTTTGGAAGGCACCGCCTTTGAAGCCTTATTCAAGAGCGTTTAAAGCTGTTGCTTGTCTGCATTAATCACTTCACTGCAAACTGAGCATCCGTGTCTTTTCTCTGCAGAAGCCCACTGGAATATATGGCTTACAGCCAGAAACATTCAAGAAGTTTCTGGCGCTGTATCTGCATGGAACTGTGTGAAATTCAGCTCAAATGAAAACCCTTCACCAACTGTACCTGCTGCTTCTCTTTGCCAGAACCATCGCATAGTGAAAGAAAGGTGGACTGATGTACTTTCAGAAATAAATTATATTGCTGCAGAAAGTAAAATTCTTTTTTAAACCAAATTGTGCCTGAAGAAAGTTTAATTTGAGGAGCTCACCTCTGTGAGGCTACAGAGTGATCAAGTGCATCCTCCTGGATGTTTCCACGGTTACCTGGCAGGAACATAAACCCGTCGCGGTTCCTTTGCACAGCTGCTGTGCTCCGTGTGCTTTTGCACAGACTAACCTATTTTCAGAGTACCTGTGAGTGCAGTGTACATGGGAGGTACCTGAGGAGCTTGAAGAGGGGAGCCTGAGTCATGCCCTTCTCCTTCTGTGTGGGTTTTTCTTTGCTTTGCTCTTGGGTGCTTTGGGGTGTTGTGCTGCCCTGCTCTTAGTTCCCAAAGTACTTAATCAGGGAGACTGGTTTGCTGAACCTGCAGAACTGCCGTTCTTTTACCCCTCCCAATACTGATGAAGTATCCATTTTGGGAAAGCGCTGTGGAGCGTAGCATGAAACTTTGGTGCCTGGTAACTGGCAGTGGCTGCTAGAAACACAAAGAATTTCTTCCTGCCACACTGTGCTAGCTGAGCAGGAAGCATGTTCTCTTAAAACGGGGGGATTAAGTATGTGTTTTTTTTGTAAGATGAAGGTTAAATTAGCTTCGACCGCATGTAAAATGTTTTCCAGTTCTGCACTGTTGCCCTTCAGCACATGGGAAGGCGTAGGACAGCCTGGCTTATGTTAAGGAGTGGAAGAGCACATACATTTCCAAGAAATTCGTATCACGTCAGTCTCTCGTGTCGGAGACTGGTCTGTGCTTTGTGATCTCGTCTGACCATCTGGATGAGCACCTCTGTTGTGTGCTCCAGTCTCAGGCTATCAAACAGCTCCACACTGCAGATTTCAGAAAACAGATCCTTGCTCGTCAAACTGGAGATCAGCTGTTGGGCTCAATGAATCGGGATGCGTCTTCTGTGAGTTAAATTAATAAATCTCTCAATGGTTAGGAGAAAATGCTTGAAAGAGAAATAATCCAGTAAGTGTTGCGTTGATCTAAATTATGTTAATTCTGTCTGTTCAAAGGGCTGCTCAATTCAGCTCATCTGTTTAAATCTGTAATTTGTACCCGGCTATTTAGGAACATCTTTTGATAGTTGAGCTTTGCAGAGGCTGTTCCAGGTGGTGGTTCTGTCTCTTCAGGCTCGTTGGCTCTCTGCTATGTGGTGGGGGCCCTGCAGAACAGCTGGAAGTGACATTGCTCACCCCTCCTGTCATGGGTCATCGCCCGGCACAGGGAGGCAGCCCTGCTGAGCAGCCAGCCCTGCACTCAGCGCTCGCATTCCTGAGCAGAACAGCTCTGCTGAGGAAGCTGTTAAAAGGTTGGTTGTGGTAAAGAGGGGGCATGAAGAGGGAGATGAAACACCTCGAGCGCTCCTGGTAGGTGAGGCAGCTTGTGGAGGTGGTCTGCACGGGAAAGAGCCAAAGTCCCTTCAGCTGCTTTTACCGCTCCACAAAGAAATCACTGCTAGTAAAGGCAGCTTCAGGGAGGCTGGAGTCCTGCCTGCACCAGTAGTTAGAGACAGAGCATGGGAAGGGATGGAGGAGGGCAGAACAAAGGCAATTTGGAAAATGATGGCGGCAGTGAAACACTGGACACTCAGTGGGGAAATGAGGTAGCTTCAGGTACCAGCTTTGGTCACTCAGAAGCCATGTGAGCTGCCAGCCCCAGTTCGTGCTCATGTTGCTGGGGGTGCAGCAGCCCCATGTCCTGGGTGAGCTCTGAGGTCCCAGAGGGAGGTCGGGGTGGGCAGAGCTGGGCTCCTGGCATGGCTGAACCCTACTGCAGGTGTCCTGTGGGCGCACTGCATGCAATCCAGTGGAGCCACCCTTTCCTCCGCTGGACTCGAGCTGGAGCTGGGAATGGGGCACAGAGGCACATCTGGGCGGGCATCAATAAGTCATAAAAGCTCATCAGCAGCTAAAGGGCATTACCTCAGCACGGCCCGAGAAGCAGACATTAACATTTCATGAACGGCAGTCGGGAAGCAGAACGTGGGAGAACATGTTGGCTGTGCCGCCAGGGAGAGCTGCAAGAAGAGCTCCTGCTCCCTGCATTAGGAGCAGCCGCCAGCACCGTGAGCCTGCTGAGCTGTTCCTGGGATCCCCCTTGTCTCTGAGAGCTGCACAGGCTGCTCCCACTCACTGCAGTGGGCGCTCAGGACGCAGGGCAAGTGTGCCGAGTCCCTCACTGCTGCTGAAGAGGAGGACTGTTTCTCCAGCACTGCTTTCCCCTGGCTCAGACCCAGTATGGGCCCAACATCCGGGGGCTGTTAGCCAGCAAGTACACTCTGTACCTGGCTGGAGCCCCTGCTCGCTCACCTCCTCCTTTAATTTAATGAGCAGCGATGTGGGAGACAATTATCCCTGGGGCCGGGCTTGGGAGGCTGCTGGGGAAGGAGCTTGGCAGCTCTCAGGGCTGTGTTGAAAGAAACAATCCAAGAACTGGTGAGCACGAGGGTCCCTACGCCTTGAGGGACAGAGTGCAGAAATCTGCCTTTCTAGCCCCAGAAAGTGCTTCTGTGCACCCCCAGCCCCCCGCCTGGCTCTGCCATGAGGAGCTATCAGGCACCCATCAGCACCCTTAGTGCTGCACCACAGGGCCCCATCCGCAGTACTGTGCCCAGGCTGCGGGCCGCCAGCTCAGAAAGATGGGGGGCTGTTGGAGAGGCCCAGAGGAGGGCCACGAAGATGCTCAGAGGGCTGGAGCACCTCTCCTACAATGAAAGGCTGCAGGAGCTGGGCCACTTCAGCCCAGAGAAGACTGCGGGGAGACCTCGTTGTGGCCTTTCATTGCAACACCTGCCCTGGTGTTGCAGCCAGCCTGCAGCAGGGGTCGGAGCGAGGTGAGCTTTGGGATCCCTCGCAACCCAACCGTTCTATGCCTTTCCCAGGCTAAAAGCTGAATTTGTTTCAAAATGCTCCACAAATCCAGGAAAGCAGCACAAAAGCAGCCTGTCTCAGGCACTGCCAACACGTCACCCTCACCACTGCCTAAGATGGCCTCCAGCAGCCCCAACCCACAGCGCCCCGGCACTGCACCGGGTCAGAGCCTGCATGCAGAGCTCACAGCCGTACCCACAGCCCGCGCCATGAACAAACAGCTGTGCACTGGATTCAAATGTTTATGTTGATATTTATTACAGCATGGGGGGGGGGGGGAGGGAGGGAGGATGGGGAGGGAAGGGAGAGAACCGTTTCATTCAAAAAAATCCATCCCATACCAATGAAGACAATAATTTAGCTATTCATTTTTAAAATACATTAAAACCGGTCCTTTCATTTCCTCGCGTCAGAACAAAAAGAAAGAAAAAAAGATGGAAAAGAGGAAAAAAAGAAAGAAAAACGGACCCCTCGCGGAGCCCACGGGCGTATCTGCGACGCAACGGATCTTCATTCGGTCATTCCTTCTTGAAAGCAGTAACCTGACTGTAAGGATGAGTGCCCCCGCCCGCCCCTCCCTACCCCTACAGGGAAAACACAATGAATGCCTAGGAAAAAGAAGGCAAACATTTAAAAAAATTCGTATTACACACTAAAAAAAGTTCTGTCGTCATCTCATGTCTCGCAGTCAGAATAATAAAAACAAGCCAAATGTTCCCAAAAACATTTCAATGAAGGGGTGCGGAAAAAAGACATCCCTTTAATAAAACATTATCAACAAATATCGTACACAAACTACAATGTATAATAATTACTTTTTTTTTTTTCTTTTTTTTTTTTTCCCCTCTCGGTATTTTAGAACCAGACTACAAGGTAAGAAAAAACACTGAAACAAGATACAATGCTTTCAATAATCCGCACAAGGGTCAATCCAGGGAGATAATATTTTACAGAGTATGATATACACGGAGCAGAAATGGAGATTGAGAAAAACGAAGAGCAGTGCAGGGGGTGCCGAGCGGCCCCCCACCCCTCCCAGCGCGGGGCCCCTTCCTGCTGCGTCCTTATGACAGAGTACAGAGTAGCAAGGATACATCGCAACAACAGTCACTGCTTAGAAAAGATCTCCATCCAGTTCCAGCTCACAGAGAAGTGAAACCCCGACAAGAGCACACCTTTAAAGGAATAACAAAGCAAAAAAGACAAAGCAAAAAAAAAAAAAAAGCCCCAAAAGAGCCGAGGTTGGCTGAGATCACAGCTTCAAAGTCCCAGGGCGGAGCAGCCCTTTGGTTCTCCTTTCTTTCGGTGGATTTAACAAGTCAAAATCGGTGTTGGTGGCGAACCAGCTGAGGAAGGGAGGGACAGAGTTCTTGGCGTACTCCGGGGGGGGGACAGACTAACACAGTGCATGCCACAGCCACGGGGAGGGAGATCACAGCGAACCCAGGATGTGATCCTACGGGGGCCACCCGTGTGAGCGCCTCTATCACGAGGTGGTGGAGTCTCTTCATCTTGTTACTGGAGGAGGAAGCGTTGTGCTGCGAATGAACACAAATAGAACCCAAAACAAAAAGGAAAAAAAAAACAACAACCAACCAACAAAACCGAAGCAAAAAAAACCAAAAAACCAACAAAAACCAATCAGGCCTTCCAAACGAAAACCACCATTGTAAACTGTCCAGTTTATTTAAAAAATGACTACAACAGAGACAACATGAGATTTCATATCTAGACTAGCTTCCTGGTGTCGCACGGCACAAACATACAACGGGGTTCTGTTTCTGTCTTTATTTAAAAGAACAAAGCAAAGAGATTGGAGTTGGGTGCTAGAGGCTTCCATTTGTTTCCAAAAAGAAGTGTCATGTACATATATAAACCCTTCTGCACAAAGAAGGATCTTGTCATCATGTCTTGAAATATTTTAAGTTTTGTCCTTCATGTTTTATGGAATAAAAAGTTCAGCCTTTTTATTGCATGAAACTAAACCTGGGGTGCTGGCCCCGCCACGCGTCTCCCTGCCCATACACCTAGCTTCTTCTTGCATAATTCTTTGAGATCCTCCGAACGGCAGCTGACTCTCTTGATCCTGGAGAGGAGGAGGGGGAGGGAAATCACACACTCATCGTCATGCTGGGGGAATACTGCAAGAGAGACAAAGCCTTGGTGAGCGCCAGCCCCGAGCACCGCGCTGCTCCAAGTGGAGAGGAGACAGAAGAGTGAGGCTGGGGCTCATGGAAACTGCAAGGCAACGGAATGGGAGTGAATAAATCAGACGGAGAGAGGATGGTGGAGACTCCTTTATCAGGATATAATCTGCTCTGCAAGTTGCCTTTCCAGAGAGGAAATAACCACAGCAGTATGGGGTAAGAAGCAATTGAACAAATAAAACAATTAAGCTGTATGCATGTATGTAATGCTAATATAGTAAAAGCAGGCGAGGCGCCTGTGCCCATGCCCAGCACTGCGAGCAGGCTGCAGGTCTCACCCTCACCTCCTATAACTCTGGAGGAACCCCAGCGATTCCCGACAGCAGTGGGGAGTGGAGAAGGTGGGAGTGGAGCTGCATGTCCCAGCTGGCTGCCATCCCATGGGAGCCTCTCCCACAGCCTCCTCACCTCCATTCCCCACGTCTCTCTGCCCTGGGAGAAGCCAAGCTCGCTTCCACCCATGTCTGCCCCACGCCTCTCTTCCTCCTCCACCTTCTGTCTCAGAGCTGCTTGTAAACAGCTAAACGGAGAGCAGAAAGGATGGAGGGCACCCATCCTCACCCCCAGACTCACATTGTCGTTTTGGAAGGAATGGAGAAAGTTGCCTCCCAGCTCCCCGTCGTCTCTTGGAGTGCCCGGGGGATTGCTAATGCCACTTATGTTGTTTGGAGAATTCTGCAGGAGAGCACAGGGTAAGCAGTCAGTGGGTCCCCGTGCACCCCTGCCCGCCCCGCTCGCATCCCCAGGGAAGGGAGGTCCCACAGCCACCCAGCAGCTCACTTACTTTTGGAAGTCCATCTATGTCTCCTGACCCTGCAGGGTGGGGACAAACGAGAAAAGCCTTACTGAAGATGCAGCCACAGCCCCGCTCCCCTCCACAAACCCCACTCAGCAGGACAGCCACGGGGGCTCCCCGAGGCGCGGGGCGGGCGCTCACCTAACGATCCATTCATGTGATGGGGCTCCATGCCACCCATGCCACCCATGGGGCCGTCGGAGCCAGGGCCCATCGGGAACTGTGGAAGGGAAAGCAACAACACCGCGTCAGCCGAAAGGTAGCAACACTGTCAGCCAAAAGGCAACAGCCAGGCCGTGGTGGCGCCGGGGCCCCATCTCCCAGCCTGACTGTATCTGGATAAGATGGATGAGTCCATCTCTGAAGGCTGCAGGACACTCCCGGGGGCTGCACTCATCCACATCTACCTACAGCATTTGGCCAAACCCAGAGACTGTGCCGACACCATGGGCTTGTGGTCCTCCACATCCCCCTACAACATCTGGCCAGACCCAGGCCATACCAGCACCAAGGGCTCTCTCCATATATATAAGCAATTAAGGCACTTGATGCTTGAATCCCTCCAAACCCAGCAGCTTGCCACCGCCTTGACCAGAGCAGCAGGACCGCCGCCCTCTTGATAAGCATAAAAAATTAACAAAGTCGCCGAAGAGTTAATCACTTTTTGATGGTTTGTTTTATTTCTGTTTTGTAACAAATGGCTGAAATCAATTAAACTGCTTTACTCTCAACTGATGAAGTTAATTATGATTTGTTATGGTATCTGATATGTAAATTATTAGAAAGCAGACTTACATTCGATCGACTGCCTGCGGGCGGTACTGGATTAATCATTGTGTAGATGTTGTCACTTGAATTTGTTGAATCTGTGGAACAGTGAAGCCCAGTAAGTCTGGTGATTAATTCATTTCTTAATTAAAACAAACTCATGCCACTTGAACTCATTCTTTTGTATTTTATCACCTAAAATTCCCTCTAAGTACCACCATTTTCTGGCTAATTTGTATTTAATGAAGATCCACAAAGTTTTTAATCACAGAAATTCAACTGTGAAAAAATAATTCAACTTCTAACCGGGAAGCACGGGGCTCGCTTGTCGGGAGATGTGCAGAGAGACAACGCGCAGCCACGCACCCTACACCACGAAACCTCGAATCCATCAACACATATGGGATTATTCCAAAACACGGGGCCGGGAGGAAGGGGCCTGGCTGTGAGGTCGGCGAGTTTTGTTAGGACCCAGCCAGAAATGTAGGTCAGGGCTCCTCATCAAAATGCAGGAGGAGAAGGAGCAGCCGCAGCCGCGCCGCAGCTCCTCCCCTGCAGCTGTGGCACCGCGCTTCCCCCAAAGCCCCACGGGGGGAGCAGGGCCGGCCCTGGGGAGCGGGGTGGGCTCCTACCTGCGGGGCTGGGCATGATGGGTGTCCCTGGAGGGCCGCCGCCACCAGGAGGACCCTGCGGAGAGACAGAGCTGGGTGAGCCACGCCGCTGCCCCGACGCAGCCCAGAGCGCAGCTCCAAAGCCATCTGGTTGGACCCCAGCAGCGCTGAGTGTGGGGAATGCTGTGGAATATCCCCGCTGCCCCTCATTTCCCAATGCCCTCCCAGCCCCGAGGTCAACCCCACAGGCCCTACTTTCACCCGTGCCTGCACAGAGCTGGGAAGACTCACCACATATGTACCAGGCGATGAAGAAGAGTATGGGATCTACGTGGAAAGAAGAGCAGATTTTAGCAACCAGGGCCAGGGAAAGCATCCCCAAGCCCCACAGACACCTAGGCTGTGTGTCCCATGTTAGGGATGCCCCCCAAGCAGCCGTTGTGCCTTAAACACAAGGACAGACCATACTCACAGAGTTAGCACTGCTGGGGTTGGGCCATGGTCTGCCAGCTCCCGGCCCCCTGAGGACAAAATGAAACAGAAAAATAAAGTTCTGCTGTTATCCATCACTCTGCACGTCCCGGGGCAGCCGGGCAGCACCCCAGGTCCTGAAAGTGCATGGACACTTTTGCCCAGTGTGGGCTGAGGGAGCTTACATGTTAATTCCAGGCATGCCAGGGCCTAAGGAGTTGGGCGGAGGTCTCATGCCGCTGCCATAGTTCTGCAACGATAACCAAGGATCAGTCTACCATAACGAGAGGGGAAACCGGAGAGGGAAAGAGAAGGGAAAAAAGACACAAACAAACAAAAAAACAAGAGGGTTAGTTTGCAAAAAAGAACGCTGAAGATAATTAGGTGACGACGGTAAAAAATAACAACTTAAAAAACAAAACCACAGTAATGCAAAGCCGTCTGCTCCCAGCAGGGCAGAGCAGTGGGGTTTGTTTTTCTGCAGCCGCGTGGCTCTGCCGAGATCCCCCAGGAGCTGCTCAGTACCCATGGCCACACCGGCACCCCATAGCCACAGGACACCCTAAGCACCAACCCTCGGGGTCCCCCCCAAGCCTTCATCTCGTTACAACAGCCCCAGCACAAAGCCCAGCCCAGAGTGCTGCAGGAGGAGGAATCCCCGCATGCTGCGCTCCACTGGATTTGTGCTGTGCTCGCTGCCCTCTGGGCGATGCACAGCCTGATTTAGGTCGCGCTGCAAGAGCAGAGCCGCTGCCTTCCCCCACTCTGCAAGCCTGCTCCCAAACGCCCGCTTTGTAGTTTTTGTCTTTTTTTTCTTTCTTAAGCAAGGCAGGGGAGGAAATGGCATGCTGTGGTCCCTGTGCCCTGCAGCCTGCAGCTGGAGAGGAAAAGAAGGAAGAGGAGGAGGAGGAAGGCATCATGGTGGGCAGAAGCTGCAGTGCCCGCTGGCTGCTGGGGCGCAGTGTCCCCCAGGAGCAGGCTGCCCGCAGCCCCAGAGCTCCACTGACACCCATGAATCTCAGTGCATCTCCTATCAGGTCAACCATGCCATGATGCATCAGTTCTGGCAGCATTTCTGCTATTTAGAGCAGGAGAGGGGCACAGCTCCCCAAGCACTCACAGCTAAATTTTAAGTTCATACTTCCTGGATTTATGCACTGCTTTGTTGGAAGTTTGTTTGGAGGAAGCAGACAAGGGTTTCCCCAAACAAATTACAAGCAAGGCCGTAACTGATCCAAATTCCAGCCATTTGCACTGAATTGCAGTATCAAACCTCTCGTTTAAAAAAAAAACAAACAAAAAAAAGCTCAATGTATTTAATTGGAGCTGAAAGGGAGGCAAAGGGAGCCATCTGAAAGGTGCTGGAGGAGGGTGGGGAGGAACGCAGCTGTGCTGAGCGACCTGCGTGCCGGGCAAGCACTGACTGAGCCAGCGAGCTGCAGAGACTTTAACAGAAGCACTGAGTTATGTGATGCAGAGTTAGAAGTGTGGATCCTTGAGGGGAAAAACAGTAGAGCTGGGTTGTAAGAGGTGATTCAGAGTTGGTCAGTAATTAGCAGTTGTCAGGACGCTGGGATGTCACGGCTGGGTGCTCTCTGGGCATTTGGAGTAAATTTTAAGCCATGTTTAGGAAGGCTCTGGTGCAATGCTTTAACAAGAACAAGGAGAAGTGCTGGGCAAGTGGGGAGCTAAGGGCTCTGATCCTGGGTCAGTATTTTTGACGGCTGCTCCCAGCTTTGGGAAGGAGCACCAGGTCAGGAAGGCAACTGTTGATCTTCACAAAAGGGAAGGGCACGCTTCTGCAAAGCTCTCCCTCATGTACGTACACAGGGAGCGGCAGAGTAAAAAATAAAGCTCTGAGAATTTCACAGCTCCTCCCGGCTCCCAGACCTGCCGCCAGCCCACGCAGCGCTGCCAGGCTTTGCAGCAATCTCAGCAAGTGGGAAGCGAGCAGCTCAATGCTTTCCTTGGCGCTGGCCGTGCTGGCAAATGCCATTTACAAAACTTTTTTGCAATCCCTCACAAAAGGAGCACTGCAGGTGCAGCAGCAGGTCCTGCATCCTCAGCCACGGCAGTGCTAACGCAGCACGGGCGATATTGCTTGGGGGTGTCCTCCCCCTGCCCTAGAATGGATGCAGAGCCATGGATTCGGGCACTCCTCCCTTCCTCGTGGTAGGCAATGACACAACTCCCTTGACGCTGCACTTGCTTTCGCTCGACAGTCTCGAGGGGGAAAACAAAACAAAACTCGAACACACACGTTTGTCTCCTGACAGACTCTGAGCCTCGCGCTAAAAACCCAACGTAGGCGACAATGCAGAGAGGATAAACCTACAACCAAAATATGGTAATGTGTTTTTGAAGTCTCTTAGAAGGAACAAACAGAAGTGAGTCAACAGAGCAGCATGCAAATCCACTTCAGAAAATGAATCAACAGAAAGGCAGAATATATTAACCCAGATCTGCTTAATTTAAGAGTTTGTTCCTCCTTGGGCTGGCTGTCCCCACCCCACCTCCCCTTTCTGGAGTAGCTGAGCAGGATTTGGTATTACTGCAGCCTAAGAAAGAACTTTGATTTAGTTTGAGCATCTTTCTGAGCTGCGGTTGGGTAAAGTGAGAGCAGAGGGAGCTGCGTTGTGTTTGCACAGTTGGGAGCACACGTGAAAAATCAGGGGGACAACCAGCACCGGCTGGGACTCTCAGGAGTCCTAAGAGTTCAAGGTTTGGGAGTACTGAAACGCCTGTGAAAGGTCTGGAGCTTCTGAAACACACTTGAAAAAGCCAAAAAATAGGTGACCCAACTTCTCTGAAGCACAGAGGGCAGTGAGGATGAGGACCTTGGCGTGCGGGTGGCCAAGCTGCGGGTGAAATCAGCCCTGCTAAGCACACCTTCCTCCTGACTGAGTCCCTCCACACAACCTTTCGCTTTGCCCCTCCAAAAAAAAAACCAACCTGATTAAGAAATGACTGAAATAAGAAGGAGCTCAAACGCTCTGCAGATCAGGGCACGAGGGGGAGAAACAAGCAAAGGGAACAGTTATTCCCTCACTAAAGGTATCTTTCCATTTGTTTTTTTTTAAAATTTATTTATTTTTAATGTAGGCATCCTTCCCCTTTCCTGCTGTTAGGGTCATAACTGTTTCCCAGGCCTGCTGCATAATGCACTCAAACACCGCTACGGCTCGGTGCTAAGTGGCATCCCCCTTCAGCTGAAGGGCAAGGGGGGCTGCAATACCCTTAATGAGGACACGCAGCCCTGAAGACCTCGCTACCGTTAAAAGGAGGGACTTCCAGATGCAAGACTAATGTAAAACGCATTAACACTAATGGGGGACAGGAGGGGAAATCTCCCAGCCTTTCCTGCCCCTGGGGGTTGTGGAGATAGTGGTTGGTGTTGGCAGAGCTGTGGATGCTCTTTGGTGCTGCTGGGTTACCTGCGGACCGGGACCCATGGGGCCCATCCCTCGCGGAGGATTCATCCTTTGCATGGGTCCGCCCATGTTTGGGTGCCCTGCCGGGAGGAAAGAGGCACATTAGGTGGGATGGAACCCCAAAGCAACAGCTAACGAGGCGGGGGAAATGTCCAATCCACCGCCGCCGGTTTACCTTGCTGTCGCGTGGGATCCATCGAATTGGGCAGCAATGGCTGTGTACCAGGAACGGCCCCCGGAGGCTGGGAAAACAAGGCGGGGGAGATTACACAAATCAGCACGTGGCCAAAATGCAGCCTAGGTGTGGAGATCTGAGCCAAGGGGACTCCGGTTCCCAAGGGGAAAGGGGTTGCTCAGGACCCAAAACCCTCCTGTCCTGTAGAGATGCATCCCACCTTGCATTGCACTGGATGCCACATCCCTACAGCTCCTGGCACTGTTCCTCTTTCCCTTTGCCAATACACCCTAGGACCTGACTCAGACACCAGTATTTCAGGAGCCCCACGCTGTGCAGGGCAGAGGTATCCTGGCAGGCCATGACGGCAGCCCAGCAGCACAGCCAAATCACGCTGCCTGCAGTGATTTATTTGCTTACAAGAGGCTGCATTTGGGTTCACCCCTGCATGCATGGGGCCCACTCCCATGTTTTCAGATGTGCTTGCTCCCCCTCCCCTGAGCACAGGCTATTTAAAGTTCAAAGGCTGCCTTCCCCACACTGCTCTGCGCAGATAAAGGGGGAGAAAGCACAGATACTATCTGCCTTGGGGAAGCAAACTGCAAGCCTTTCTGTAGTAGAGCTGCCTTTTATTTGAATACCACTGTGAAACTGGTCCCCCTCATGCAGACACAGGCCCCATCCAACCCAGCAGCCAGGCTGACTTTCGTTCCCAATATTTTACATCTTGGAAGACAGTGGCAGGAGGAAGACAAACAAGAGCTGTCGTGGCTGTGAGTATTTAGACTTCTGTTCTCTGACTTGCCTGCCTTCCTATTTATTCTTGTCCCACTGGATGTGACCGTGACAACACCAAGCTCTGGGTATGCACAAAGCTGTATTTTAGACACGGTGTTTGGGGAAAAAAAAATCTCTCTAATTAACCTCACAGTCAAAATCAAAGGTTAAGAGATATGGAAGACCTGAACCCCACTGCTGCACAAACCCTCTGTGGTCCCTGCTTTGCCAGCACGGGGGACTCATCTGTGCAGTGCATGGTGGCGTGAAACCACAACTGGTTGGTCTCAGCCCTGCTAGGTGGCAGTTTGGGTAGGACCTAACAAAACAAGCGCTGGGAACAGCAGCAGCTCCGCCTCCCCCAACGCCTCCACCAAAACCCACAGAGCCACATGCTGCACCGTGCCGTCCGTCTGTCCGCATCGCTGCCACCTCCCACCCTGCCTGGTCTCGAGGTGTTCTGGAAGACCCAGTGGCTAAAGCCTCCAATCCAGCAACCAACAGCATTAAGAAAGGTGCAACATCCTATTTGCTGGCTGCTCTTCTGCCAGGAATTGTAAAACTGGATATTAGGAAAAACCTCCTCAGAAGGAGGCACTGGCACAGCTGCCCAGGCGGGTGGGGGGGTCACGGTCCCTGGAGGCGTTCCAGAACCGCAGGGATGTGGCACTGAGGGGCAGTCAGTGGGCATGGCGGGGTGGGTCGGGGTTGGGCTTGGTGATCTTTTCCAGCCTTAATGATTCTATGGTTCTAACCTGTGCTTTTCCTAATAAGAAGAGCTGTATTAGAACAACGTTACTTGTAAGAAGTGTTAACAAAAGCAAGCTCCCAAGATAATTTTTCCGAGGTTATTTTGCTACTCCGAGGAATTGCATGCTTCCTTTAATTTCTCTTTAATGAAAAGCAACCCGTGATTAGGTTACTGCCACACAGACCTGATGTCAATGCCTCAAGGCGATGCCACACGTTTTGGCAGCGCGTGGAGCAGGAGCTGGCAAGGACAGCAGCAAACGGCCGCCGGTTAAGCCGAGATAAGAGGATAAACCCAACCCCAAAATTCAGGAGCGACCTGCCCCGCCTGACCCCACAGCAGCTGGGATTATCTCCGTTACTTTAATTTGCAGGGATCGCAGGGAAAATCCGCCCAGGGTCGGGGAGCAGTACCTGGTTTCCCATCCGGATGGGGGGCCGGGGACCTCCTGCATAGCGCGGTGACATGAAAGGCTGCAATGACACAGAAAGCAGGTCAGCATCACGCGACAGGGGGACAGCTCGTGCCCCACACACGCCGGTTAGACCTTATAGACTTTTGTTCTGGAGAAATCCTTCTTTCAAAAAGTTGAGTTGAAAAAGGAAAAAAATAAAAAGAAAAGAGAAAAAAAAAAAAAGAAAAGCAAAAAAGAAAAAAGTGTCCGGAGTCCGTTTTTATTTAAGGTTTTCTGTAGGTTTGTTGTTTGAGAGTGTTTGACATACTTCGGCTGTACTATGTGAGGCTGTTACAATTAGTGCACGGGTAACCCTGAGTGTTAGATACTGAGCTTAAATATATGTATGTATTTCTATATGTATAAAAGTGGGAAATATGCACATACAGACACGCACACACACAAAAAATTCCCCAACGCTAAGTGTGGAAAAAAAGAAGACTTCAGGTGCTCTTTTACAACTGCTGCTACCAACAGAAGCTTAAAAACCCACATCCAGCTCCATTCCTCAGGCTGCCTGGGGGAGGTAAACCACTCTGATACCCACGAGTGAGTTCTCAGTCCGCCGTCACCTGCACACCCAGCAAAAACAACCAAGCACTGGGGAGAAAGCAGCGCCCCATGGCAGAGCTGGGGGCAGCGGGCTCCCGCTCCCAGCGCGCTCGCAGAGCGCGTCCCGATTCACAGCCCTACCCATCACTAGTGCCGTTACCTGACTGTGGGGTCCCATCATGCTGTTAGGGTTGTGGGGTGGAGGCTGTGCGTGTGGCGAGGGCTGTGAACCAGGCGGTCCCTGTGAGGTCAGACAGTAGAAGGAGGTTATAGATTAGCACATGAAAGCGCAGAAAGAGCTAAAAAGGATTCACGGGTGGAGCTGTTTTGTTTTTTTTGTTGTTGTTGTTGTAGGGAAGGCAGTTTGCCAATTCTTTTTAATGCTTTTTTTTTTTTTCTCTCCTTTTAGTTGAGTTTCTATTCACTTGTAACTGAACAACGAATAATGATAGATGCAAAAAAAAAAATTACAAAAATAAAAAAATTCAGAACATCTGTCAAAGTACAGCAGCCACATTACAGTAAACGGTCCAGTAGTTCAACCACGTCTGCAATGATAAATACACAGGGAGACACTTGGCGAGGGCGTGCAACGAGGAAGAAAAATATGCAGGAGAGGGGGTCAGAGAGGATGGGGCGAAAATACAAAAAAAAAAAAACCACCAAAAAACCACCAAAAAAACCACCCCAAAACAACAACAAAAAAATCATGTTCTCCTCTCTCCTCCCACATCCTGAAGGCTGGAAACACCTCCCAGGGTTTGCCACCCCAGGGTCCGCTGCGTGGTCGGGTAAAGTGCTACTAAGGACGTCTAAGGAAAAAAGGAAAGATTAGTTCCTGTAGGTTTTGAGCACTGCAATGCAGCAGTTGCTGACATTTTGGGGTTGAACGCCCACTTTTTTTTTTTTTTTTTTAATATTTCCCTTTAAAGCACAAAATGAAAGTTTGCTTGAAGGAACAGCGAGTTTGGTGCAAGGACGTATCGGTGCATGTTAACACAGGGCAAAAAAAAAAGGTATTTTTGGGTCAAAGGACGTGTAATTGGTACAGAAAGCAAATAAGCTCGGTAAGTGCGTTATGCGAAGCGACTGCACACTCCAGGAAAGGCGCAAAGCAGATGTTCTCTACCTGCCTTGTTACCAATTTCAACAAGTGTTCGCCTTCTAGCTGCTGCCAGCAATGGCATGGTTTGTTACCATGAGCAATTTTCTTAATTAACAGACATTAATTAGCCATTTAGCAATTTTGCAAGCATTTGTTTAGCAGCTTTCCTAAACATGAATACCACTGTGATAATGGTACTGATTAGAGGGTCCCCTAATTAACAGTACAGGGAAGGAAAATTGAAATCACATAAATTAAAAAGGGAGGGGAAGTTAATGAAGGCAGGACACATTTGCACCTGCAAATCTTTTGTACCGTGGAAACTTGAGTGCAATGTAAATAAAGTAAGAGGGCTTTTTTACTCTTTTTTTTTTTGCAGACTGTGATGTGGGGACATGCAGCCAAACGCTGCGACAGGACTCTGGTGGCTGTAGAAATGAAGCCATGCTGTTGGCACCAATGGCTCTGCGGGCTGGCACTCGGAGCCACAGGGCAGCCAGCACTCGGGGCACTGCTGCAGGGATGCTCCTGGCCCAGCGGGGCACAGCGTGGGGCGGTGGAGTGAGGCCGAAGGCCTGCGGCCATTTTGTGCCGCTCTCCCTTCCCCTCTTGGGGGGGGAATGGAGGCTCAGCATGGGACCGCCGCTGGTCGAAGTGGGTTAGGGCACTTCACAACTGATTCCCTCTGGGTGGGGGAGGAGGGAGAGGTGGATTTGCTCCCTCCAAGCATCGAGCATCCTGCTGAAGTGAGCAGCACATCTGAAGCGCTGGCTCCTTCCTGCCCCAGGCCCGGCGAGGCCCCCGCCTGCGGCTGGGCCCAGCACTCCTCAGTCAGAAACGCAGGGCTCTGGATGCAGTTATCTCCATAAACATCTGCAGATGTCCCGGGGCCCAGGCCTGCCCCTAAACCTGCCGATGGCTGCCTTTCCCCAGTGCGTTTCCCTCCCTACAAACAGAGATGATCCCGATGGAGCGCAGTGCTGGAGACGAATGCTTTGCAGATATGACATGTGGGCTCCAATCAACACAACAACTCCTTCGTTTCCTTGAAGCACGTATTTAGCAGTCATTAAGCAGTGCTCCTACAGCCTCTGCAGGCCTCACCGACAGGGCTTGGATGGCCGTGTGGGACGGGACTCTTCCACACTGCTCAAAAACCCCACAACCAACCCAACACTTAAAGCAGTGTAAGTAGAAATTGTTTCCGACAGTGCTAGGTGTTCAGCCCGCCCACTGACCTCCTCTCTGCTTCATTTTCTTCCCCCCGTTTACTACAGGGACCTTACAGACAAATCTGGACTAGCAGATGACAGAGGGCTGCTGCTTTACCACGGGAGTTTCCAAACGATCCGATTATTTCCACTCCGCCTTTCACAAGCTCAACTTCTCAAACTTCTTGTAAAATATTAAACATGGAAAATTGCACTAGCGATCATAGTTCTGCATGTGTCAATTTATGTTCCGAGCGTAATTCACCACAAATGGATCATGTTTTATGGGCTACATACTTTCAGCTAATGGTGGAGTTTTTATATTTAAAAACATTCTCAAGTACCTCTGGGGGGGGCAGAACAATGAAGAATGGTATAAGAAGGCAAAGCATCAGTGCAACGAGATACCAACAATTTGGAGTTAGCAAGAAGAAGGCATCTTGCATTTAAATCTATCTGCCTCTGACTTGCCGGTTTCAACATCAGAAAATATCAAAATAAATGAAATGGATATTAATTAGAGAAGTGCCTGAGTTTACTGGGTGGGAATCTGGTGTTTTATTCTTGTAAAACGAGGTGGAAATTTTGTGACATGTAAACAAAAGAATGAAATATCCCTTGTCAAGCTTTAGGGAGGATGCTCCAGGCTCCTTGGTAGCTGCTGTCCTTGTAGCACCACGACCACCTGCAGCGCCGTGGGGCACCCACTGGCTCCCCCAGCCCCACAGGCACCTGGTGCTTCCAACCCAGCCATCCCAGCCCTTAGGGAAGGTTTCAGAGCCCTGCCGTGCCCTCTCTAGGAGGCTGAAGAGCAATAACTAGCAACTTGACATTCTCCTGCCCTGCCAGCTTCGTAACAACATCTTCTCGGCACCACAGCCCACGCAGTCTGAGGGTGCAGGAGGAACTCAATGTGCAAACGGTGCTTGAAGGTCTCTCAGAGCTTCCTGCAACACCCCCGAGCCCACCACAAAGCCCAAACCCTCAGCTACAACATCAGATGTTTTTATCACACAGTAGACAGTGCCTGGAGCCCACCAGGCTGGACAACAAGCAGGGACAGAGGGTCACCTCCTGCCTGCAGGGCAGAGAATGGCAATACCAGAAAGGCATGAGGTGCCGGGTGAAGGCCCAAATTCACCTTCCTGAGACCGCAACATGGCCAAGCTCGGCAGCAGCCAGGAAGGGAGCCGTGGGCAGGAAACTGCCTTGCCTGCAGCTGGGGCTCCCGAGCACGGAGTTCTGGTTTGAAGGAATATGTTAAACACAAGCTCTTCAGGAAACAAACCCATGTCAGCCGAAGCCAAGAACAGTCACCTCCATCTGGATGGAGCACCCGAGAGAAAGTTGACTGCAAATCCCACCATATGCTCCAGACATTCGGTACAAAAGCCTCGGGCATCCTGCTAAACTTCCAGAAAAAAAGGGAAAAAAAAAGAACTTTTTCCAACGCTTGCTATTTCTTCTCTCTTGTAAGCCATATTCCTTCAGCTCTTGCCTAGAAGAAGCCTTCCCCTACAAAAGCAGCCCCGGGAAATCTGACAGCATTAGGTCAGCCCAGCTGCCACCCACGCCAGTGGGGTTTTGCAGCACTAGCAGCAGGAGGCTCAGCCATCAGTCCCTTCCCATGGGAAGCTCCATGGGAAGAGAGCCTGGCGAGAGCTGCAAACTAAGGCATAACACTGCAGGTCTCTTCCCAACCAGCCGGGAGAAAGGATGCCCCCGGGATGGAAGATCCTGTCCTTCCTGGCTCCCGAGGCTTCTCTGCATTAGGGGGCAGTGTAGGAACAGCGAGCGACCGGTGCTTTGTTTTGGTGCATCTCGCAGGCTAGCTGCTGATGCATAGCTAACACGGCCACAGACATTGATTTATGTGCAACTTTCCATTTCATCAGAGCCAGCGTTACCGAGCCAGGCAGGGAGCACGCATTTGGAAGAGAGGCAGGGCCTGGGGGGGGGGGGGGGTGGGCATGAGCAGCCCCCACATCCTACGCCCCCTGATTTACTACAAGGAAGGTCTTGTTCTAATAGCTTGCAATTTTTAATTTTACCTTGCGCATTTCCCTGGCACTCCCCTTCCCCAGTGCTGGAGCAGAGGAGATTGACGCAAGGGATCTGCAAACGGGCATCAATTCAGCTTTCAAAACAAAAGCAAAAATGATTTCGATGACCTTTAGGAGGATGAGCGAAGGGTTTGTTTACTCATCTTAAAGGGACAAAGAGCGAGATTTAAATAAAGGAGTCTACCCACGCTAGCCACGAACTGGCCCCCCATTAGTCAGGAGCATGGCCCGATGCCAGGCGCCACAGCCTGCTGGCACTGCACGGTGCCCAGGCATCCAAAGGGCGCCCAGGGCCTCTCCTTTCCTGTCGGGCTTCAGGAGACGCCGAGGGCTGCATTTCCCTTGGCCTTGAGCCTAAAGGTCGCTGCTGAGCTGCAGCACAGGGAAGGCTCTGCCTGCGAGCCGGGTGCTGCAGACAGACTCCTCTCCTCTTGTCTCTGCTCCTCCAAGCTCATGCTTGTGTTTTTCTGGGCCACCAGCTCCCGAGAGCTGCCTCTCATGTTTTTTCACTTTGCCACCTTCACTCGTGGGGCTGTAGGGGTCCTTGCACCCTGGGGAAGCAGTGCAGGGTTTCTGCAGCCAGCACTGGAACAGGCTGGTTTGCCGCAACTGCCATCTCAGCTCCTGGCTGGTTGCCACCACGATGCCAGGACACGATCTGTCCCTGCACTAGGACCTCCAGAAGCATTCTGTGCCTGCTGTCCTTAGGCAACCTGAGCCCTCCAAGTCCCTGGTGCCTGCAGTATGGTGCAGAAGGGTGCAGGAAGCTCTGCGCTGCCAGCTCCGCACTGCTGGAGCAAGATGCTGATGCTCCCCGATGCTCACATTCCCTCCAACCTCCATTTTTCCCTTGCAGGAGATGGACTGACCAGTTGGAGATCTCACCTGGCTCCTGAGGTTGGCACATAAAGGGTTGGGGAGAACCACTGTAACTGTTTCAGTCCTCTACATCTCCTGTGACCTTTTTGGTTTCACTCTCTTAAGTTCAGTGCTTTAATTTCCTCCAGAGATAAGAAATTAACCCTGAGCTGCAAACAGCTCGATGCAGAGCCTCCAGCCCACCTCTGCAAGAGCTCGTCTCGAGCACGTCTTGAAGCTGGAACGAGCCAAGCACCCGCAATAAATCAGACGGATTTTCATGGGGGTGATGTTCTGCCTGTGTTAAAAGGTGGGATTTTTCTTCTCCCCTCCTCCTCTCTTTTTCCAAGGCTGGGAGGAGAAACCAGATGTTGGAAGGCTTTCAGGAAAGGCAGTCTCTCGAGACGTCACATGTGATCCATATGCATCAGCACCCAAACCTCCTCCGCACCTAATCCCAGAGCAGCGACCACGCTCCCTCCCTCTCTTCCCCAAGCTCTGGGGGTGGGTAGCAGCTCCACGCATGGTCTGCTGCTATTTCTGTAGGGTTTTCAGGAAGCCCCCAGCAAAGCTCCTTAGAAAGAGGAGCTGCTTTTGAGCCCCCATCGCAAAGGCAGCCCAGCTCCTGGTCCAGATGCACCAAAGTGGAGATCTGGGATGGGCTGTCTGCACTTTGAGCAGACCCTCTGTGCCAAAACACTATGAACAGCCAAAAAGGAAAGCGGGGGGAGGCCTCGGAAGCTGTCAGTGGGAAAATGTCAAGACCCGAGCATGAGCTGGGGCATCACAGCTCCTCTCCCTCACCTTCTCCTCTCGGTGAAATCCAACCCAGGCTTTTGAAGCCGTGCCCTAACTTCTTGCCAATTCTGTAACCCTCGCAGATCTGTGTGAAGTGGGAGCTTGAGAGGACAGTCATCTTTGCAACGGGATGAGATCAGGACTTTTGGAAACACATTTGTTGGAAGTAGCGACTTGGCACTTGAATTGCTGGCAGCAGCTATGACCTGCGAGATAGCATCTCTTCTGCTCGCTTCATCCCGTGTCACAGAGCACTGCTACAAGATTACCCTGTTTTAGGGTTAGCACTCAATATCGGATACTCTTTATTTTGTCATACGCAAGTTCAGGAAATGGGATCTCTCTAAAAAAAGCAGCAGCCCTCCTTCCCCCTTCTCCAGCTCCACGCACACAAGTTGTGATACCACGCTGATACCGCTCCCATAAATCACAAGCACTTTATCAAGTTTGCCTGTCTACTGCCCAAGAATTTCTCCCATATACAAATCACAAACCCAGATAAAAAAAGCAGCTTGCCAAAACAAATATCCCTTTCAACTGTTATCCCATTTGTTACACAGACAAGTGCTTATTCCTCAAGAAGGAAGATCTTAAATGCACCACGAGCTTACGGTGCTACAAACCACTGCGTATCGTGACATACAAAGAGATTCCAAAGACATTAAAAAAAAAGCCCCACACTTAAAGCTTTGATTTCTAAGTGCCAGTTGGAAACCCTTCCATTAGCATCATCCAGTCATATGTTACCCTGTCTTCTACCTGAGCTCAGCGTGGGAGAAGGAACGCACAAGAGAACTCTGGGGACTTTGCTAGGTATTGGCTTACAAGGTGCCTCCATGGCATTTGGGGCCTTGCACTTGGATCGAATCCGCTTCTGCCTGCAGCCACAGCCCCCGCCAGCATTTGTTAATGCTTTCGGTGATTGCATTTGGAAAAAATCAAGTGGTTAACCAGAGGGGGAAAAAGTTTCAGGAATCAAAATCCAGAATGTTTTCAATTACGCACGTCTGTTAAGACCAAAGAACAAATACAATCTCAACTCAAACACAAAACAAGCAGCTTTGGAAAAACATCAATTGCAAATATACAGTAACCTCTTCGAGCAAGATAAATTCGCTTAGGGCCACGAAACCCAGAATGTAAACGTGGAAGGAGAGCGGGGCACTGGGTATTCACAAACAGGTCATCTATAGCACAGGGCTTTGCGAGGCTCCCCGTGGGGACAAACGCACGGTGCTGACGGCAAGGCGCGAGCGGCTCGTGCATCCATGGACGCCCCATGGACGCGGGTGCCGGGAGGAGCAGCAGCCTACCTGGAAGAAACCTGGTGGGATGGGGCCCCCGGGCATCCCGTCGTTCGGGGGAATGTTTCCAAGCACGGGACTCGGGGCGGCAGCTGCGCTCTGCAGGGAACAAAACCAGGACAAACACGTTGGGTTCGAGTTGGAGTTCAGGAGCTGTGTCAAGGCTTTTCAATCACTCCTCTTCGCCCACCTCCCCCTGTCCACTCGCTGCTTCAATTCTGCACCACAAAGAAAACACTCCCCATACTACAACCAGGGGTTTTTGTTATAAAATCGCACCCAACCTGCGGCTTGTGCATCCCTGCTGCAAGCCCCAGCGAGGGCACGAGAGGCTTTGCCACAAAAAAAGGAAGGGGCCAGCTGCGGGTTACCCAGACAGCCCTGCTTAGCAACTGGATTAATATTTACTTCCCGCCCGCAACGCAGGCCGATGGACGAAGGCAGTGTTCTGGCAGGGGGACCAGCAGCAGGGCTGGCCATGGAACAAAGGGCGCCTGCATGGCACGGGGGGCATGTGGCCGTGGCGCCGAGGAAACATCGGCGCGGTGCAGGGCTGTGCCCGGGTGGGAAGGGGGAAGAAACGGACCTTGCCTAAGAACTGCTGATGGCAAAATGTCTCTACCGGGTCAGTAATCATCCTAAGGAATAGAACAAACAACTCAACTCTTTTCCCTGACAGTCACACTACTGTTTGCCTTTTGAAAATTAATCCCTCCATTTCTGGGGAGGTTATAAATGAGCTGTGGTGATGTTAACTGGTTTGAGTCTGCTCGATCGCTATACCAGCCCCTCCTCTAGGTTTTACGATGGACTTCATACCCAAAGCTATGCAACACAGCTAGGACCCCTTCCTCTGCTCATCCCAACGGCACCTCAAGGAAATCCCATGGGCAGGGATTGCTCCATGTTATTCTAAACCCAGAGCTTGGGCAGGGTGACCCCACCAGACACCGTGTCCCACCAACAGTGGGGACAGCTCCATTCGCCCACCATAACCCAGGTGGGATGGACAAAACCACGTGCACCAGCTTCTGCTGTGCCCACCCCGCACCTGAGAGCTGTGAGCATCCTTCAGGACAGCATGGGCTGGCTCTCCAAACAAGGAGCCTGTCTGTAAGAACTGACCCCTGCCTGTGCCCCCCATCCCGCACCCCACCGCGGGGTGAGGAGAGCAGGGCATCCCAAGCAGCCTTCCTGCAAAACCAGCGAAGGCCAGATCTGAGTGTTTTTACAGTTAATAAAAAGAAGTCCTGGCAGGAAAAATAAGCCTACCCATTCCAGGCTCTTTTTATACTTCAGACGGCAGCAAAAATAGAAAGAAGAGGGAGTGAACCCATTTCTCCCCCCTTCCATCCCCCCAAGTGGGTCAGCTATAAAAGTAAAACCAAATCTTAATCCAAGGCCATGAACATATTGCAGTTTCTCTGCAAAGCAGATGAATGTTCTTAATGCAAAAATATATAAGACCAAGCCCCCAACTGCAGCGAGCCCATTTGGAATTTCCTTTATTAAACCCTCTATCACGCAAAACGCTGCTCTCCAAAGGCGGCGAGCGGCGCAATAAAGCTGCCAAGGTGATATTTTATGGTTTCAAGAGATTTCCAGCACACCATAATCTCTTGCTGGGGAATCTCCTGCGGCAAGGCAGATCCCAAGGAGCAAGGGGACCACGGGGATGTCACCGGTGAGGCGCAGGGTTGGCACTGCACAGTGAAGGCAACAGCAGGCCCAGAACCTGGCCAGCAGAACCACCAGGAAGCCTGGTTTGGGTACGAAGAGTGCCTGGGTCTAATAAAACAAACACAGCTTTTATGCCTTTGTGATGAACTGAAGTATGCTGCACTCCTCTTCCCTCTGCAACAGGGAGCAGGGGGAGGAGGGCGATGCAGCCAAAGAAAATCTTTAAGCAAATGCACATTTTTCCACAAAACCACAGAATATTTTTCCGCGATAAACACCCCGAAATCTCACCTATGCATTCGCCGTGTAAACGTGGATTTAACGTGCCTTGCACATGTGGCGCTTGGCAGGGCTCAATAATTAAAAACCCACAAGTGCCCTGAGCATATTGTAGGATGGGAGCCAAATTGGTCAGCCCTTGATGAATGATTTACAAGGCTGCGAAGTGACATTTTATTTCTTTTTATTCCCCTCCCTATCACCACCACTAAGGTAAACACCGAGGCACCTTTCGTCGTGCTGGAGCAGTGCTGCAAAAACCCTGGACTGTGCCCAGGAAGAGGAAGAAGGCGGCAATTGGAGCACCAGGAACAAAATGCCTGAACCCAACGCTGTTCTCCCCAAGCCCAAGGGTGCACATCCCACACCCAAGCTGCTCACCTCAAACCCAAAGGGTACGTGCCCCAAATCCAAGGTGCTCGCCCCAAGCCCGAAGGTGCATGCCCAAACTCAAGGTGTATGCCCCAAACCCAAAGGCACGCACCACAAACTCACGGAACCCTTCAGCATCTAATCCCTGAAGAACCCTTCATACCCTCTTGGATTACTTTCACTGCTTTAGCTAAGAAACTTTTATATGGGCTTCTCCTATTCACCTGCAGAACTCTGCTCCCTTCCACCAAACCAAACATCTGCAAGAAATGGGACCCTGAGGAGCAAAACCAAACCATGGATTCAATGCCTGGGAGAGTCCAAGCCCATCCCTGCTCCAGGGCTGGGCTTAGTGCTGCCATTTGGCTGGAAAGGGATCGAGCTAATTCACCTCGGCACAGGGGGGCCAGCATGCCTGCGCATTCACATTTTATTAGATGGTTAATTTGCTCTGTGCTGGAAAGAAAACGCAGCTCCTAGGGCACGCATCTATAGATACACGCATACATATATACATATTTCCTACCTACATCGGATTTTTTCCCCTTTTTTGGTGTGATGACAATCTAGATCTCCACGTTTCGCTCCCAAATCTCGGCGCTCGGTTAACACAGCAACTCGGTACGCCAGCAGATGCCGTCTAAGCCTTTAAATCGTGCACTAATTGCACTAATTGAGCTAACAGTCTCTGTTTCGTCTCCCTACCCTGAGTCAACCAGCGTCTTCTGGTACTGCTGTAGAGATCCAAGCTGTTGACTGCAGTGTTATTTTGTCAGCCATTAAATGATTCATCAGAGTCATTAATTGATTTATTACTGCTGCCTGCAAGTATAGCTTTGCAAATAAAGAATGATGTAGGTCAGAAGGCAATAGAAATTGGACAAAACAACACAGCCAGGAGCTGGATACTTAAATTACCCGTAAGAGTCCACTCACGGCAGCCCACCAACATCGGGCTACAGGGGGAAGAAGCAGAGAAAAAGAGCGATGCGCTGCGCAGCCAAACCCAGCAGCACCTCTGCCGGGATGCGCTGCCAGATCTCCCCACCCTGGGGACACAGCGGCGATGGGGAGGTGACGGCCACCACTGCTGTCAGCACGCGGGGTGCCTTGCCGTGGTGCCTCCCACCCGCAGGCAGTGCGAGGTGCAGTGGGATGCAGGGAGGACGGCTCCGGCCGGACAGCGCGTACATCTTGTGCAGCCATGTGGGAAGTGAAGGCAGGAAACGGCTCTTCCGAAAGCGGAGCGTAATCGCAGGCAGCGCATGAAATTCATGTGCGTTAATGCAGCAATACGAAGCCTCGGGGCAGGAGGCTTTAAATCTTGGTTAGTTTTTTCAGCTAAAATCTATCTGGGATGTAAAAGGGCTATTAAAACAGTCTTATTTTCTTAACCTAATCCTTTGGAAGAAGCCAGGTTATTCAACTCTATTAATTGCATTTAATAGCGGAAGGGCAGGGAGGTGGCACAGCCACGCCGCGTGCCCTCACTCTCCCACCCCAATGCCCCGAGCTGCTTCATGCCACTCCAGCGTCACCGCAGCGTGGGGACACCCAGCGACCCGCTGCCCCTTGCTGGCCCAGCTCCACTCTTCCACGCCAGAACAGGGATGCCAGGGAGGCGTCCTGCCGGGACGAGGACCGGGGTTTCATTTATTTTCCTGAACGTGGAGCTGAGCTCTGTGCTGGGCTCGAGGGCTTGGCAGCAGCGGGTGCTATGTGAGCCCCTCCCGGCGCCCGCCGGCTGCGGCGGTTTCCTGCCCCCCCGGCAGATTCAACCTGCGATCAGCATCCTCCCTGCGGCACCGCCCAGGCTGACGGCTTTGGGGCTGCTCAGACCTGGGCTGGGAGCACAGCACAGCAGAGCAGGATCTGCAAGGCAAGGTTTGCAGCAGTGGCCAAGAACTTAGGATACAGGAGCAACTCACATTTGCAGACGCTCCACTTGCAGGTTCTCAGCGTGCCCTCTGTAAGCCCTGGCATGACCACAGCCCTCTGGTGCAAGCACGCAGAGGTGGTGAGCACAGAGCTGCAAGCTGGTACCTACCCATCTGCTATTTATTATTTGGCATGGAGGAAATAAACTAGCGTGCAGGTCAGGACTTAAGCAGGTCGTGTAAACAGGTACTACTGAATTAAATTGGACTCTAGTTAAGCCTTTTCATCTCATTAAAGCTGCCTTCATCTCACATGGTAAGGTTTTAAATTTAATAACAAGACACTCCCACACCTCACTGTAACCTGATTAACGCCGGAGGACGGCAGCACTACGCCTGTGCCACGGGGGTGGCTGTTCTGCATGGCCCCACCTTGGCGTGGCTGCAAGCATCTGAGCTGCATCGATGCAAAACCAAAAGCAGAAGCACGGCGGGGAGGCCAGGAGGATGCTGCTGGACGTGGGGGCACCTGGGCATCCTCCCACGTTCCCAGCCAGAGATGCTTTACAAATGCAATGCGGCACACGGATGTCCCCACAGGGATGGGAGGCACCGGCTCCATGGGCGCCAGCTCTCTGCATTTACGCAGCAATGCTGTTTTACCACGTCCTGCATAGGGCTGCCCCCTTGTAAGTACAGATCTGTAACAGGTTGCTGCTTCCTCGGAGGAATGCTTCCAAACTAAGCTGTGAGCGACAGCAAAATCGGTGCTTACGTGATTTTCACAACTTTCCCTTCCTGCATCTCCCAGCACAGCGCACTCTGGCACGTGCTGCCAGGGCTGAGCAGCGGCGAGGCCACATCTGGCTTAGTTGCACCCGGTGAGCTTGT